AGAAGGGATCAGAGCCCTCCTCGTTTTCTCAAGGCAAATGTCTTTCAGAGCGTCCTTTACATAGTTTTTGTAGGCGCGCAGCCCCAACGACATGTTTCCTTCGTTGAAATCTCGGATACCCCAGTCTTGGAGCAGCTTCAAGCTCCGTGCAGCCCAAGAAGCAGGTGATTTGGAAGCCTCACAGAACATCTGGCGGTACCAGTCTTGCCGCGGCCATGACTGGATGCGGGCCCGACGAGAGGCAACATCCAGCACAGCACGGGCAAAACCTGACAACTGCCAGCCAAGTTCCCACGAAGCAAGGTGCGCTGGCTTCCAAGGTGGAACACCTAGCAGCGTGCGCGCCCACTTGTCCTGCGCGGTATTCAACTCGGACTCCGCATTCGGGGCCATGACAGCGAAGAGCCACCTCCCAACTCTAAGAGTCCCGTCTACCTTACTTTCGAAAAGTGCAGCTGCGAACGGTAAAGGAAGAGCAGCCTCAATGCACAGGCCAGCTAAAACACACAGTTGCGAAGACGCAGCACGAAGGCGAGCATGTAGGGATTCGGTGGCGCCACCGTCGGTAGACCACAACCAGCCCAGCCATTTATGCTCTGAGGCACAAAGGCAAAGACGCACAGGGGCGGAACGGGGCCTAGGGCGAAACCAAATAGGGCAAATTTCACCATAGCCTCCCACACGAAAAAGTACAGTCTTTGAAGCTCCCACATGGAAGCAAGCCCCGTGCAGGGGGGCCCATTTTTCAATGATCAATAATGTCCTTGCCAACTCACCCCAAGATGATGCGAGAATCACAGGGTCGTCGGCGTGCAATAAAATGGCAAGTTTGTGTGTTGATAGAATGTCCAAGGCCCTAGCCGCCGAGGCCTCTAAATCTGGTCGATGGAGTAGCTCGGAGCTCGGCGGTAGCCGTGCATCTGTCTGCAGAGCTTTTACCATTCTGTCCGTCCAGTTTGCCTGGGGTGTGCCCTGGCCACTCCAGGGATGGTTGGCCCAAGCGGCTGGTACTTTAGAAGACAACGCCAAGCCACAGGAATGCTCGAGCAGGACCTTTGCGAGAGAGTCGGGAAGTAGGGTATAGAGTATTGGTCCTAAAACGCCACCTTCAGGAAGGCCTTGGCGGACGGGCACAACAGAACATCCAGAGAGGAGTACAGAGACCATGTCAAGGTCCAAGATATCCCCCAGCAAATGGAGAACACCTCCTGAAACGCCTGGGCATTTTGCGGCCATGGACAAAACATCTTCGCGCCAAACAGATGGAAAAGCTTTCTCAAAATCACCCATAACAGCGTAAAAACACCTGTTTTGATGTACTGTGACTTGCGCCAAATCATGCAAGACAAGCAAGGGGTCATCGACACCCCGCATGTAGCCTGATTGGCCATTTTGTAAAGAGCCCCACACAGCCGGTCTGAGACGGATAGCCAAGATACCTTCTTGTAACAGACCCATTTGGGACTTGATGAAGAGGAGCCTCCAGGATGAAAAATCGTGCACAGCACCTTTTTTATACGTAGTCCCGAGACTTGCCCATCTCCACAGAGAGGGTCTCAAGGCCCAGCGGCTTGGCCCTGCCAACTGGCAAAGCAACCACGCCAGCGTCCTCCATGCCGAATGGGCGCAGGAGAAGGCAGCGCGTGGAAGCAAGTCTGGGGGCAGCGCAGAAGAAAACTTCCAGCTGGCAATGACAGCATATACCTCAGGTTCACAAATATCGCTGTCCAGCGTGCCGCGGCCACGGTTTGACCATGCTCTACCAAGCAAGGAAGCGACCTGGCTGCGCATTTTGGCATACATGTCCTCGGATGGCAGACTTGGTCCAGAGCACTGGTCCTGAAGTTTCTTGCACCACTCGCGCTGAATTGCAGCTGTGGGCAAAAACTGTCCATCTTTCTGCATGCACGGAGGTAGTATAGTCTTTGGTTTGCGCAACAGCTTGAAGCACTTCTGTGTAGCAGTAACAGGAAGATCGCTAGACAGCAAAAAACCTTTCAAAGCATCACGGACGTTGGGGGTGCATTTGGGGCGTAGGCATGAAATTCGGGATACAGAGCTGCCAGCGCCTGCCGGCTTACAAGGATGTACCCAAGCATCTCTGGCCACACACCCTATCAGCCACTGAAGCCAGCAGAGGCAATCCAAAATCCATCTCCTGGAGTCGGCGCCAGCTGCACGCCGAACACCGCCCAGAGAGGACTCAGATGCCTCCCTGAAGGAAACAACTAGCTCTGATAGGGCTTCAATGGCAGGCTGCATGTGTTTGAACGCTTCTTCCCATCTCGTTGTCATATGCCATTGGGGAGGGAAGCGGTCACAACGATTCTTAGGCGAAGGATCGTCCAACAGTTTGCTCACCGTAGCCTGGACTTCTACGAGAAAATGATCGCTTTTGCAAAAATCCGCGCAAAAGCCCCAACTACATGAAGAGCTTTGACAGCAGTGAATGCCATTGTGCACCGTTGTCTCGACTTCTGCGCCCTTGGAACAGAAAATAAGGTCGATAGCTCTAGATAGTCCTGGGCCGTGGTGGGTATCCCCGGTCCTGATTACGACTTGTGTACCTCTCAATGGCAAAGTGACAGGTCGAGCATGGTCTCCTGCGAGTGAAGGGTTGGTACAGACCAACTGAAAGGCTTCGCACAACTGTGAGATACCGTGGTCGCGGGAGGGCCTTGCGTCCGGTCCCCCACCTAGACACGAAGGCTGCGCATTCCAGTCTCCTAAAACCAAGATCGTTGGTTCCAGCGCAGCAGGAGGGCCAACTGAGGCTTTTATGTGTCTTAGATCAGCATGAAGGCCCTGCAATTCTTCTTGCCAAGCCTGTTCGGTCTCACGGTCTCCTTGCGTAGGCATTGCAATGAAGCATAAAAAAACAGCAACACCAGAACCACCCCTGACCGAAACCCAAATACGACAATTAGATCCCACATGGGGGATCTCGGTGAATTCAAACCCACAGTTGACTCTCCACAGGACTGCGCAGCTTCTATATGAAGGCCCCCCTCGTGCCAGCAGTCGTAAATTTGGGCTGGCAGGGAGCGCTGTGTCCGTGGGAAGTCTCGCGGCAGGCAGGCCCAAGATATGCAAGCCAAGTTTCTCCATAGCTGTTTCAGCAGACCACTGTGTGTCCAGAATTCTGTGCCACAAGATTCTGGCACCATCAACGCTAAGGCAACCTGAGCGCCCTGGGTTGCCTGTTCCACAACGAAGCTTTGTAGGAGGGCCCTGGGCAGAGCTCTGTCTGATGGTGGCTGGCAACTCGTGCAACATTCTTTTGGCTATACGGAGGCCAGTCTGCACGACGTTAATCATGTTCACAACTGTTTCTTTGAGCTGGCCACGCAGCAATGCTGCAGGCACCTGTGCCAATCGCGCCCCTTCATTAATCAGTCGCTGCCAAACAGAAGACAAAATGTCCTCTGAAACTGGAGGCAGCTCCTGAGCCGGGTAGCGTCTTCTGTGCTGCAGGGCTCGCTCCCCTGCGCGCTCTAAAGCATCCTTTAAGGATTCCATGCTGCACCTGTCGCCATTGAGCCCAAGGCGCGAGGACAGCGACAAAACAACCAAAAAAACAAACGACAACAACGGTAACTAACACGACGATGGCAGGAGGAGGACGTGGCCGCCGGCACACGCACCCTCCCCTCGCCGGCCCAATACCTTAGCGACGCAGGGCAACCGCAACAGCAACAACAACAACAACACCACCAACAACACGACAACACCGACGATCGACGACAGCAGCGAAACCAACGTCAACCACGACAACGCCAACGATGGGACATGTGCAACAGCTTTGACGTCACACAGCAGTTGGGTACCCTACTTTCTTCTCTTCCTGAAGTCCGGGAGAAGCTTCCGCGCGACCCGAATTGCTGTACTTGGCACAAAGCGGCCTATGGCTGCGCAGTTTGCCGTGTCATGCACGCAAAAGAAAACGAAAACACCGCAAGAAAAACACTGGTGGACAGTCCTACATTCTACCTGAACCTTGCCGTATTGGCCGCCATGGCTCTTGCCATCTCCGGTGATGGAAGGTTAGAGAAGGCAGCACCAGCGCGCCTAGCTGCTACACCGCCCAGTGGCCACATTTGCGTCCACGGCTCGATCATCTTTTCAATCTGCACTTTATCCTGCAAGGATTTTCCCTGAACAATCACCTTGCCGGACTTCAAGTACACCGCGACGCTGCTGGACATGCCGTCCGGTTTGAATAAGATGCCTATGGTAGTAGACCCATCTTGTGCAAGGAGGCGTTTGACTTCGCCAGAATGGCTGTAAAGGGCTCTTTGCGGCGGCTTAGGGTAACATGCAGCAAGGGAGATGATGCCTTGAAGATCTGGCATACGGCCAGACGCGTCAGGGAGCAACAGCCGCTTCCATCTTGCTGCGCAGTCACCCAAAGTCTCTGTCATGAAATCGTCACTTGGACATGGCTCGATGCAGTTGGGCACAGCAGGCGACACAGCCACAGGGCTCATGTTTGATGGGGGGGATTGCATCGCCTGCATCATGCTACACATAAGCGCCATGATTGGCCACAGATTGTTCGCTTCAGCCTGTGCCGGAAGACAGGGCTGCGCGATGGAACTCGGCGTGGTTGGACGCAGAGTCATGTGGTCGAACACTGCTGGCTCCTGCGACAAGCTATCAGAGTTGTTGTAGCGACGACGAGCTGAATTGCAAATCTTTGGAGCATCCAGTTCCTGGCTATGCCATTCGAACTTGCGTTTCTTGGTGCAGTTTTCGGGCCAGACTTGAGCAGGGATGTGGCGAAGCTCCCAGTCGTCAACAGAATCTCCGTATGATCTGCCAGTGGGGCTTGCTACACCACCCGCCAAGAACTCCTTCAGCTCGGTATCGGAGGCAGGGACAGTCATCTGTGAATCCTCCAAAACAGGTACTGTCTCTGAGGCTCTTGAGGCTGCAAAGAAGCGATGGATGCTGGTTTGCGAGTCGTCTACAGACGAATCCTCACAGCGGCGTTTCCCCATGGTACTCTCTGCCGCCTTGTAAGCAGCAGTGTAAGACTAACAAGAACCCTGGAAAAAAACAAATTGAACCACAAAGTTCGGCCGGGTCAACGTCGGCGAGTGCGTCAGCAATGCACCCTGTTAGTCAGTGGCATCGTAGCGTTAAGTTGCAATTCAACAAGCTACATTCGCAAGACAGAAACCATGACGAGCTTATCAGTATGACTGTGCAGTAAGCACGCTGGTCTCCCAGCTACAAACTGTTGATCCGAAAGTGTGCCTCATAAAAAAAAGAAACAACGACAACGACAACAACAACAACAACAACAACAACAACGACAACGCCGACAACGAAAACGAACAGGACGACGGCAGGAGGAGGACGTGGCCGCCGGCACACGCACCCTCCCCCCGCCGGCCAAAGACCTTAGTGACACAGGACGAACGAAACGACAACGCGACAACCACGACATCGCAGCAGCAACAACAACGACAATGACAACATACAGGCTAAGCGGCACAAGTCCTTAGTACACGCGCACAGAACAATAGCAGCAGCAACGAGAAAGACAACCACAACAACAACAGGAACAACAGCAACATCAACAACAACAACAACAACAACAACAACAACAACAACAACAACGCCAACAACGGCAACAACGGTAACAACGGTAACGAACACGACGACGGCAGGAGGAGGACGTGGCCGCCGGCACACGCACCCTCCCCCCGCCGGCCAAAGACCTCAGCGACACAGGACGAACGAAACGACAACGCGACAACCACGGCATCGCAACGGCAACAACAACGACAACATACAGGCTAAGCGGCCCAGGTCCTTAGTACACGCGCACACAACAACAACAGCAGCAACGACAACAACAACAACAACAACAACAACAACAGCAACAGCAACAGCAACAGCAGCAACAGCAGCAACAACAACCTGAACCAGCCAAGAAGCAGGGTTCCTCAGTCAGGGCGCAGCACGACGGCAACAACGACAACAACAACAACAACAACCAGCCAAGAGGCAGGATTCCTTAGTCAAGGCGCGCGACGACGACAACAGCCACAACCACAACAATGACAACAGCAACAACAGCAACAACAACAACAACAACAACAACAACAACAACAACAACAACACCCACCACAACCAGCCAAGAGGCAGGATTCCTTGGTGAAGGCATATGACAACGACAACAACCATAACCACAACAACGACAACAACAACAACAACAACAACAAGAACAACAAAAGCATCAACGACGACGACCCCAACCAGCCAAGAGGCAGGGTACCTTAGTCAGAGCTCACGACGACGGCGACAACCAACACCCACAGCAGCAACAACAACAGCAGCAACAGCAACAACACCAACAACAACAACAACAACAACAACAACAACAACAACAACAACAACAACAACAACAACAACAACAAACAACAACAACAACAACAACAACGACGACAACAACGAGAACCACCACAGCCAAGAGGCAGGATTCCTTGGTGAGGGCGCACAACAACGGCAAAAAACGACAACAACGACCACAAGGACAGCAAAAAAAAAAACAACGACAACATCAACATCAACAACAACAACAACAACAACAACAACAACAACAACAACAACAACAACAACAACAAGCCAAGAGGCAGGATTCCTTAGTCAGAGGCGGAAAAGGCGCACACAACGACAACACCACACTCACAACAAACAACAACACAACAACAACAAGCAAGAGGCAAATTCCTTGGTCAAGGCGCATGACAACGACAACACCACAACCATAACAACGGAAACAACAAAAAAACACACACAAAAAAAAAAAAAAAAAAAAAAAAAAAAAAAAAAAAAAAAAACGAGGCAGGATTCCTTAGTCAGGGCGCACAAGAACAACAACGACGACAACAACGAGAACCACCACAGCCAAGAAGCAGGGTTCCTCAGTCAGGGCGCAGCACGACGGCAACAACGACAACAACAACAACAACAACAACAACAACAACAACAACAACAACAACAACACCAACACCAACACCAACACCAACACCAACACCAACACCAACACCAACGACAAACAACGGTTTAAGGGTCTAAGGGTTCCAGGGTTTAGGGTTTAGGGTTTGAGGGTTTGAGGGTTTAAGTGTCTAAGGGTTCCAGGGTTTAGGGTTTAGGGTTTGAGGGTTTAAGGGTTCCAGAGTTCCAGGGTTTAAGGGTTCAAGGGTTCAAGGGTTTAGAGTTTAGCAGCCAAGGGCCTTCCATTTGCAACTAAGCCCTAAGCCCTAAACCCTAAACCCTGAGCCCCTAAGCCCTAAGCCCTAAACCGTCAACCCTGAACCCTAAACCCTAAACCCTAAGCCCTACGCCCTAAACCCTAAACCCTAAACCCTAAACCCTAAGCCCTAAACCCTAAACCCTAAACCCTAAACCCTAAACCCTAAACCCTAAACCCTAAACCCTAAACCCTAAACCCTAGACCCTAGACCCTAGACCCTAAACCCTAAACCCTAAATGCAAGGCAAGCTCTCCGCTGCGACCGCCGCGAAGAACAAAGAGCTGGCGAACATGACCCTTGGACTTGATGTAGGGTTTAGGGTTTAGGTTTTAGGGTTTAGGGTTTAGGGTTAGGGTTTAGTGCTTAGTAGGGTCTAGGTTTTGAGGGACTGGGGGTTCTGCAGGGTTTAGGAGTTTTCAGGGTTTAGGTTTTAGGTTTTAGGGGTTTGAGGGTTCAGGGTTTTAGGGCTTAGGGCTTAGGACTTCGGAAGGTCCACATATGGAGCCATACAGAGCGGCACCCTACAAGGCCCCTTTTGGGGTGTTCAGGGTTTGGGGTTTAGGGTTCGGGGTTCAGGGTTTGGGCCCTTATTCATCTTTTTCCGGGGTTGGCTTCTGTAAACTGCGAAGGGCACCCTTGTTGCCTATGTTGCTCCGGTGTGGCTAATCGGGTGCCCCGAAACGCTACCTAGAGTCATGGCCCTGAAAACCGGAAATTTAAACTAGTTCTGATCATGTCACCCTGCGTAAGGGTTAAGGGTATATCCATCTTCAACCTCAACGGTGTTTTTGCTACTCTAGGTATACAATGCTTTAAAGCCAAAACCCCAAACCCTGCTACCTGGTTCCAAAATCGCACTCTGATTCCTAAGCCTGAAACCTAAACCTTAAACCCTTAACCCTTGACCCCTTGGGCACGTTTACGGTGCTTGGGCTAGTTTTCGGTCAGTACCCCAAACCCTAAACAATAACAAACAAGAAATAGTCGTTTGCATGCCCTGGTGTCTACCCTGGTGTATAATTACCCTTTATGTTTGGATGTTCCCTCTTATGCTAACAGTCCTTTGTAGGGATTGTAGTACCCTAAACCCTAAACCCTAAACCCTAAACCCTAAACCCTAAACCCTAAACCCTAAACCCTAAACCCTAAACCCCCCCATTATACTCACTATTTTCGGCCTAAACACAGCAAAGCTTGTCCCCACCATCATACTGAGGAAGCCAGTTCCAGACGAAGACGGGTGGGCTTTGGCCTGTTTACCTGAGCAAGGTTCGGGGGGTTTAGGGTTTCTGGGGGTTTAGGTTTTAGGTCTTTTGCCTTTGTAGGTGTTTTTGTGTGTGTGTTTCAGGGTTTAGCAACTGCACAAGGTCCAGAGTCTGGGGGGCCGACGCCCACGAGGCGAAACGAAGTTGAAAGGCCAATTTTCAGAGCATGACGGCATTGGTAGACTGTAGAGGTGTCCGAGACCGAAGCTGAAATTGCCTGAAGTTCTAAAGCCTTGTACCTTCGACTTGGTGCTATTGTTAGCTTTCGCCCCTCAAGCCACATACAACACCTCAATTCCGGCAGCAGCTTCGCGGGGGGCGCTTTTGTGTTCCGACTTCGGAGCTGGATGTTAAGTAGCACGGATTTTTTATGGCCCACCCTAGAACCCTAAGCCCCCTAAACCCTAAACCCTAAGCCCGCGGACCCTAAACCCTAAACCCTAAACCCTAAACCCCTAAACCCCTAAACCCCTAAACCCCTAAACCCTAAACCCTAAACCCTAAACCCTACACCACAAAGCCTCGACCCTAAACGCCGCCAGTGCCTCCATGGCGTCTACGCCAAATCCGGAGGAGAAGAACACCCCACGTCGAGGCGCAGGGGCTCAGGGTTTTTAAGGTTTAGGGTTTAGGGATTTAAAGGGTTTAGGGTTTAGCGTTTAGGGCTTGGGGTTTAGGTTTAGGGTTCAGGGTTCAGGGTTTGGGGCTTGGGGTTTGGGGTTAAAGGGATTTGGGGAATCCCGAGAGCCCTAAACCCGTTGTGTAGGGTTGCGGGATTTGGGGATTTTGCGAAACCGTAAACTCTAAGTATGCAAGGGTCGAGAGTTAAGGGATGTGAGTTTAGGGTTTAGGGTTTAGGGTTTAGGGTTTAGGGTTTAGGGTTTAGGGTTTAGGGTTTAGGGTTTAGGGTCGAGAGTTAAGGGATGTGGGGGTTGAGCGTTTAGGCTTCAGGGCCTCTTAGGGCCTGTGGAGGCGCAGGATGTGTTCTTAGGTTTTTCTGTAGGCTTGAAGGGTTTTGGGTTTCAAGGTTCCCTACACCTTAATCCCTAAACCTGAGTCTAGAGCCCCCCCCCCCCCCCCCCCCCAAAGCTCAGGACCTACATAACCCCCCTAAACCCTCAGTCTCAGTGGAAGGCTTTTAGAGCCCCCTAAACCCTAAACCCGAAACCCTAAACCCTAAACCCTGAACCCTGAACCCTAAACCCTAAACCCTAAACCCCAAACCCTAAACCCTAAACCCTAAACCCTTAAAGAAAGAAATCAGGACTTCTAAGAACCTGAGGATGGGCCCCCTAGGCCCTTAGGCGCTTCGGGGTGTGGTTAGCGGCTAGGGTTTAGGGTATAGGGTATAGGGTATAGGGTTTAGGGTTTAGGGTTTAGGGTTTAGGGTTTAGGGTTTAGGGTTTAGGGTTTAGGGTTAGGGAAGTCTTGGAATACAACTTCAGACCGCAATGTCTCGTCATGGCAA